GTCTGCGAACAGAGTTTCCAGGAACTCAAGAAGAGGTTGGTGACTGCACCAGTCCTTACAGTTCCAGACGGGTCAGGTAATCTCGTGGTGTACAGTGATGCATCAGGGAAAGGCTTGGGGTGTGTGCTCATGCAGAAAGGTAAGGTGATAGCGTATGCTTCTCGACAATTGAAAGAATATGAACGAAACTACCCCACGCATGATCTCGAGTTAGCAGCGGTAGTGTTTGCCCTTAAAACGTGGCGGCACTACCTGTATGGGGAAAAAGTACAAGTCTTCACGGATCATAAGAGCCTCAAGTACTTATTCACGCAGAAGGAGCTCAATATGAGACAAAGGCGATGGTTGGAGCTGGTAAAGGATTATGACATAGAGATTCTGTACCATCCAGGCAAAGCCAACGTGGTGGCTGATGCATTGAGCAGGAAGGCTGTGCACACTTCTGTGATGATCACCACACAGGAAAAACTGCAAGATGAGATGAAGAGGGCTGGGATAGACGTGGTGATTAAGGGTGGTAATGTTCAGATAGCACAGTTAACTATACAGCCTACCCTACGAAAGAAAGTTATCGACGCTCAGAGGTCTGATGAACACCTTAGTAAAGTGTGGAGTCAGATTGAGACAGAGAGGCCAGCAGGGTATTCTATCTCCCCAGACGGGGGTCTGCTATGGCAAAACCGCCTGTGCGTTCCCCGAGACGAGGGAATCTTAAAAGATATTATGACCGAAGCCCACGATACATCTTATGTGTTCCACCCTGGAAGTACAAAGATGTATCAGGATCTGAAGAGATTTTACTGGTGGTCCGGAATGAAGAGGGACATAGCGGATTTCGTAAGCCGTTGCTTGACCTGCCAGCAGGTGAAGGCCCCGAGGCAGCGCCCAGCAGGATTGCTACAGCCCCTGAGCGTCCCTCAGTGGAAATGGGAAGCAGTCTGTATGGATTTCATTTCGGGTTTGCCAAAGACAAAGCAGGGTTTCAACGTCATATGGGTGATTGTGGACAGACTGACTAAGACAGCCCACTTTATTCCAGGAAAGTCCACATATCGAGTAGACCGGTGGGCTCAGTTATATATCAAGGAGATAGTACGCCTGCACGGGGTACCAGTGTCCATAGTATCAGACCGGGACACCAGGTTCACCTCTCAGTTCTGGAGGAGTCTTCAGAAGGCACTAGGAACTCAGTTGAGGTTCAGTACAGCATTCCATCCTCAAACGGACGGACAGACCGAAAGGCTGAATCAGGTTTTAGAGGACATGTTGCGAGCCTGCTCCTTAGATTTCGCTGGGTGTTGGGACGAACATCTGCCT